CAATAAATGATACAGTAACTGATTCTCCCTCTACATCTGTGCCCCAAATCTGTGAGGGAGTAACTGTCATTATTAATTGAGGACTTCCCCATGAGTCCCACTCGTAGAAAACTTCTACTTGAAGAAATGGCCCAGAAATAAGAGAGCATGTGTCTACCTCCACAAGCAGTGTCATTCATAATGGCCCCAGGTGGAAAGGAGCCCTGGTGTTCCCTAGTAGTACTTGGTCATCTTGGTCATCATGTGGACATCTGTTTAGTGGAATACTGGTCAGCTGTGAGAAGGAAAGAACTGCTGGTAGGAAGCAACAATTTCTCAGACACGATGATGGGGAAAAAAGCCCGACAAAAAAGTAATGCTGTGGCTAGATAATTCTGCTCCTAGAAGCAGTAGGCTACCAAATAAACTAATATGGTATGATCCATGCATATGGATTTCATTTATAGGCAGAACGAATCTGCAGTGATAGAAGGAAAACAGAGTTCCCTCTAGGGCCAGTTACTGACTGGGGTGGAATGAAGGGGTCTGTATAGGTTGATCTTGCTCTGTGGGATGGTTTCAGGAGTAGGTACGTATGTTAAAAATGCACTCAGTTGCACACTTCAGATTTGTTCATTTAACTGGATGAACGTTATGGCTCAATAAAAACAAATCGAGCATCCAGAAGAACAAGTCCCTGCTATACATAGGCCAGGTCTATCTGAACTTGCTAGCTTTAATCAATATTAGCCAGCACTCAGCTACTTGAAAGCTTATGAAGAAAGAATAGTTCTGTGGCAAATTCTCCGGTTGCACCTCATCTTCTGTGGGAAGGAATGGATGGTCTCAGGGGCTGTGACAGGGCAAGCAACATGCTGCTGGTCGCAGGAGAGAGGTGTGGCATTAGAGGACAGCAGCCTGGACAACAGCTCCTCACACGCCTAGGGCCCAGGTAGGAGCTGTTTTTAGTTTTGGAGTGTTCCTGGGAGCAGGGGTAGGGAGGTGGCTGTGAGTAGGGCCCAGGGGAAGTCTAGGGGACACAGAGGGGAGGGCTGGGAGGTGGAGGACCCAGCTGTGGCAGAGAATCAGGTGAAGATACCCCAGCTGGCCTCCCTGGGCTTGGGTGCACCACCAAGGCCACTGCAAATGCAACAATCCCAACCCAAACCCATTCTCTCTCTCTAGGTAAGGTTTTCTTCCCAATGTGCTCAGTGCTGCCATTGCCAAAACCTCCTAACCACCACCCACGACTGTCTCCAGGGGATGGTCCTTGGCTTCTCTTTCTCTTTCCTGAATTTACATGAGCCTTTCCAATGTATCTGAAATCCATTCATTTGTTTCATCTGTTCTCCAGTAACCTAGTCTTGTGTAGGATACAAAACAAGAACAATAACAAGCAACATTTATTTATCACTCTATGAGCTGGGCACAGGGTTAAACAATTCATATGCTTTCACTTAATCTTTGCAAAAATGCACAAAGCAGGTAAGATGTCTTTCCATTTTACAGATAAGTAATCTGAACATGGAAAAATTAAGCAGCTTGCCCAAGGCTCCAGGTTAGTAGATGGTGCTGTTGGGCTTCATACCCTGTTCTGCTGACTTTAATGCTGTATGTTCTTCCTCAGGGCTTGCCCACTGACCTTGTGTGATCTTAGGCCTCCTCCCAACCTCCCTTGGTTCCTTTCCCATCACCTTCCTTCCTTCAAGCTTGGATCTTGCTATGTTGCCCAGGCTAGTCTCAAACTCCTAGGCTCAAGTGATTCTCCCCACTCAGCCTCCAGAATAGCCGGAACTACACAAGTCACTGCTTTAGCCTCAATGTCTTTATAGCAACAACTTTTAGCCAAGTCCCTTTTATAAGTAAGGCATTCAAATACCTGATATTGGATTATTTAGAGACCCTGAATGGACAGAGTCTGGCAAAGAGCTTTGGACTAAAGAAGAATTGTTCTGCTTGTGTGCGATGTGCAGGTAATAATGAGCAATCTCAAAATTTCTAGTTACTTCTAGAATGTTGTCAGCAGACGAGAACCTTCATAGGCACTGGGGCCTGGTCTTGACCTCCTCCTTAACATGGGGCTTCTGCTCACAGCCCCGGGTAAGCAGGGGGTGAGAGTCCAGGCTGTAGGGGACAAAAACACATGGAGGACCTATAACAGAACTCCAAACCCTAAATGTGCCTGTGCCCTGTGGTGACATACCTCATTGCCCAGTGGGGTAACAGGCATTTCAGTGCACTCTGAGATGGGAAACTCCCAGCAGTTTTGCAAACAATTGTCATTTGTGGTCCTAAAATATTGTGTTTGGCACACATTTCAGAACACTGCCTGCACTCCCATAATCAAGATGCGGCACAGCTATGGCCTGAGGGTGACATAGAACTCGACTCGCAAATATTATTAAGCACATGGACCAGCTGTCTGGAGGAGCTGATTAATCCCCAGCAGAAACCACTGCATGCAGCACACATGCTGTCTGCAGAGGACACCGGCAACTGCACGCTGGCTAGTGAAAAGGCTATGGCGGGGCAGACCATGGGAGGAACTGTAGAAACAGCTGGGTTATCCAGGGTTGGAAAATGAATGAAAAGCCCCTTAAACCTTTTTCCATAAAATGAAGGGGAACTAATTCTTTTCATTCTTATTTTCTGTTCTTTTATTTACTGTCTTGGTGAGAGACAGCGAAAACGACCGAGATAAGGTGGGCTGTGCTGTTTTCAAATCCTGGTCTGCCATTTGCTCATTGTGTGAATGTAATGAATGATTTTACTAGCCCTCCGAGTCTACTTCCCCCGCCCTTGCAGGGTAGGCAACTCAAGGTATTCCATGCACACTCTGGCTTTTTGTAGTTCTCTGCTACAGGACAGCATCTAATTTCTTGCCTTTGAAATCCCAGGGCCCCACAAACTTAGTCTACCTTCTCTGGTTCTCCAGTTCATTTAATTCTCTTTATCTCTTTCCAGGGTTTGTCATGCATTTGAAGATGTTCGAGAAAGAAGAGATAAATGTTCTAAAAGGGAAGGATGGAATATTCTATTCAGAAAAAAGAAATACAGAACAAAGGATATGAGGTTGGTTGTCTGAAAAGAGTTCAGAAAGTGATTTAGAGGTGTGATGGTCAGGGCAGAAAAGCAGTTAGGATGGGGACTAGGAAGGAAGGCTGCATGGCCAGGGCTGAGAGGGCTCTGGACAGGCTTCAGAGCAGTAGCTGACATAAAGTAGAGCTGTGGAGGGGTGCCAGCCACTGAAGGCCACAAGTCCGAAGTACTTTAGCCTACTGAATGATACATGACTTAAATACTCAGGCCCTGCCAACAGCACATCTGCCAGCACCTACTGGCTCCTGGCCCTGCCATCTTCTTATTTATGGATGGTTCAAGGGTGTTAACCACAGAATCTGTAGAGTCCAAAGTCTGGTTAAAATGGAGAAACAAGACCTGCACTGCTTCCTCTGGCACTGGGATTTTTCTCTCACACAAGGAAAGCTTCCCAGGCTCCACTGGAGCCCTTTCCTCAATTAGGCATAAGCCTTCATCTATTCTCCCTCCAAGGCCGAGGGGCTCCCACAGCCCCTGCTCTGCCCACATTCACTCAAAACCTCTTGGCTTATCTTGCCACAAAACCATGTCCACTTTCCTCTCTGCACTGCCAGTGCTAATCAAAACTGCTGCGCACGTGTGCATGCGTGTGTGTGTGTGTTTGTGTGTGTGTGTCCCCGCATGTAAGAATGCCGTATGGGCATTTGGCTCCAGGACAAGAACTGCTACGTGTTAGAGAAATTCAAACAGCTAAGCTCTCTGACCAACATGCCATCAAGCATTTGAACATTACTCATAACCTAGGCAGAGTTAGTTTAACATTTTTCCTTATGATTTTAAACTGCTGAGAATGCTTCCATTTTCAGAGTCAAATAAAAGAAGGAAAGAATTGGCACAAAATAATAAAAAAGCAGAAAAAGAAGATTCTAGAAGTAACCAAAATGGCCATTATTTCTTGATAAAATGAGTAGAAAGTAGCACCTGTAAGTATTCCAGTTACCGCTCAGCCTGGCTCAGGATGACCAGGCTTTGGTTAACACCACCAATGAAACTTATCCTTTCCCACAGTTACAGACATTAAAATTTACACAGACACTTCCATTTGACTGTAATTGCCCCACGTAGTTCTGCACCTGGTGACTGCTAGGTGAGCAGCTAGGAATGCAGAAAATACCACTGGGAATTCCTCCTTGGCATCTGGTGGTATACTGTGAACACCCAAAAGTTGCCTCAGTAGATTGATTTCTGGCTTGGACTGTATTTTACTTAAAAATGAATGTGTATGAATTTTCACAGGGTGTGGTGGAGGCTGACAAGGAAGAAAAGCAGGGCTTTTCAGGGGACTATACTCATCCAGTCCCCCAGACCAACTCTCTTCCCTTCCCTGCCCTGCTCTGAACCCAGGAGGATTCATCTCACCTGCTAGGACCTTGGAAGCCAGCTGCAGAGTAAGATCGGGTATCAACTTTCATGCTGCTGTGGTCTCTCCTAGGAGGTGCTCTTGCTCTGGTTTTGCTACCCGTTCCTTGCCCTTTGCTGTCCAGGCCTTAGTGCCCCTGCTGTTATGGTACTCTGAGGCTCCTTACCATGCTCTGTAGCATGCCCCTAAACCTTGCCTGTTTCTTTGTATAAGACTCTTCATTAAAATCTCTAATTCGAGTGTCCCCTGCTTCCTGCTGGCACATGACTGATTGAGGAATAAGCTATAATTTGGTTGATCCCTTGGTTTTTCAGAGCCTTCTTTCTATAAAAGCAGAGTATTGTGGGCTTGGATGCTTTCAGAAGGGCAAGATGACCACAGGAATAGATACCCACTCACCAAACGACTGCCTTACCCATCTACTGAACTCATTAGTGTCCCATCTGCAGAGCTGTCAAGCTCCTGCCTGGTGAAAGAGAGAGGGGCAGATGGAGGAAGGACAGTGTTGTAGTCGACTACATGCAAAGATGCAATCAGGAGTCACTGTCACAGAAGTACCCACCTTGTCTTGCTGTGTACTCATTGTCTTCAATCAACCGGGCCAATCCAAAGTCAGCAATCTTGCAAATCAGTCCATTCCCCACTAGAATGTTTGCCGATCGCAGATCTCTGTGGATATAATTCATGCGCTCAATATAAGCCATTCCTGCAGCAACCTGCGGAAACCCAGGGAAGGGGGCACATAAGTTAGAAGATAATCCTGCATTTCCATGTTGTTACATTCACAGCATTAATCAAGGTACCATGTGGCCTACCTGTGCTGCCATGTCCACAAGATTTGGCAATTTCAGAGCTCTTCCTTCACCATCTTTTAAGAAATCAAGCAAACTTCCTAAGAATGAAACACAAAACCATTTCAGTTTACTTAGAAAAAAACTCCAAGGATGGGCTGTATTTGATTTCCTTACTATAAGTAGAAGACAGTTGAATGGGATGATGCCATCAATGGAAAAGATTTTAAAAAATTTGTTTTTATTTTATATGTATGAGTGTTATGCTTGCGTGCGTATAAGTGCACCTGTGTTGTGCAGTGCCCATGGAGGACAGAAGAGGGCATTGGATCCCCTGGAACTGGAGTTATGGATGGTTGTTAGTCACCATGTGGGTGCTGGAATATGAGCCTGGGTCTTCTACAAGAACAGCCAGTGCTCATAACCATCTTAAGCCCTTAACCATCTCTCTAGCCCTTAAAAGAATTGTTTTTTATACAAAAAGTGGCAGAGAAAACAATTCTGTGTTTTAAGAAGCAAGCTTTAGCTTTTGCAAATAAACAGTACTGATTTCATTTCTAAGGACAAAGAGTTTGGTAAAACTAGAAGAAATGAAACTTCATCTCCTTTTATGTCAAAAAGAGGAACATGCTAATCCCAGCTCTCAGGAGGCAGAGGCAGGCAGATCTCTGTTAGTTCAAGTTCAGCCTGGGCTACATAGTGAGTTCCAGGCCAGCTGGGACTACAGGGAGACCCTGTCTCAAAAAGACAAAAATAAATAAATAAATAATAAATAAATAAAATAAAAAGAGCCACGTGAGTCACTCAAGCTTTCCATCTCATTCCCCAATCATTCCCGCACAAAGTAGTGATGTGGGGAAGATACAGCCTAGCTAAGCAGTCTGAAAATGTGGTTCTGGAATCTGCAGCAATAGCATCACCAGGGAACTTGCTGGAAATGCAAATTCTCAGGCCCTACTACAGATGTATCGAATCAGAAACTCTCAAGTCAGACTCAGATGCTTGTATTTTATGATGCTCTCAAGGTGATTCAGTACAGGGTAAAGTTTCAGAACCACTGGCTTGGCTTATTTACTGATTTTAAACCAAGAAAGTAGTATCTGAAGAATACTGGTGGGCAGGGAGCTTCCCAGTGAGACCACAGGAGCCAAGCCTAGCCTTAGACATCTGAGACAAAACAGCCAGGGGTTCAGAGCCACAGTGCAAGGCCCTGTGAGGAGGCTCAGAACCAACACCAAGGCGGAAATAATCATTTGCAGGAGCTGGAGGTGCTTGATGGCCATCAGTGCCTTTTTAATGGTTTAATCACAAAGTTATTTACAAAATAACCCTGGATACAAAGGACAAACACTTTTTCCAGGAAAAATTCCAATTATATTTTAAAAGAAAGTACAGAGAAAAGAAAAATTATACTCGTGCCCTCTGACGTACAGCTTACAACCTTTTAAGGTTATTTCTTGTTTTGGTTCATCTATTTTTCCAAAACAGAGTGAACTCTGGCTTCATTCCCAACAATATTGTTTTGATTATAATAATGTACACACGCATGAGTGGACACAGAGATGGGAAGGAGGGAAAGGATAAAATGCATGTCATTTTCTCACTGGGCATTTAAGGAGAAATCTGGGGAATGATGTTGAAATGGAGGCTAAACTTAGCTCAGAGACTAGGATTTGTTATTGATTATTTAGTCCCACAAAAAAGAAAATTTAATGGAAGCCACCAATTCAAATTCACAGCAAATTTTATTATAGCTCTATCACCTCTGATATTAAAGTACATGTTTTAGTTATGCAGAGGGAAATTTCTGACATGTGTAACATGCAAGAGGCATTGTACTTCTCAAGGGTTTGGGGGCACACTCAAGTGTTAGTCTGCTTTGTAAGTGTTTATCACAAACGAGTACACACTGGATACTTCCTGATGGGAATCCCTGACTCATGCAAAAACTAGGGGAAAAGGCAAGCACGCAGCACCATTTCTCTCTCTGAAACAGTCCCTGAACATGGCTGTGAGGGGAGGGGGAAGTATTGGCCAACCTTTATTCATGTATTCGGTGACAATGTAGATGGGCTCCTCTGATACCACAGCGTAGAGCTGTACCAGCTTGTCATGCTTCAACTTCTTCATGATCTGTGCTTCCTCTAGGAATGACTCAGGAGACATTGTGCCTGGCTTAAGGGTCTTTATGGCTACTTTTGTATTTCCATTCCAGGTACCTACAAGTATCCCACAATATTAAGTCAAACAAAAGATACTCTTTCCAAGGAAAAAAATTTGACCAATAATTATTTGCACAAAATTAGGTTTTAAAAACCTTACAACGGTTTTATGAATAAACACAATTAACTGCAAGGACTCTGTCAAGTATGTCAACAAGAAAAACAAGCTTACTCGTAGTACGTTTAGTTATTCATTTAACTTTTTTCTATTTTATATATATATCACCCTTTTTATGGCTCATCCATATGATCCATATGATTACAAATTTATGCCAAAAGCTCTGAGTTCTTGTTTATAGTGATGAAAATCTGGGGTTTAGGACTGGCCTGACTACCCAATAGCTGTCCCTTAGGTTTGGGAAAGCTGGGAAGAAATTGGACTAAGTTCCGTTGTATAGGGTGTGTCACTAAAAACAATATAGTCACTCACTGTGGATGCTTGGAAATTGGTTCTAGGCCTTCAACTGTCTCAATGACAAGTTACTTGACTGAGTCCTTCAACAGTCAAGCAAAGCGTGCCACAAGCAGGAGCAAGAGCACATGGTCTCCTTGCCCATACTTCCCCAGGTTAAAGCAAATTCCTCAGGCTTCCTGACAGTCAGCCATAACAACAATGGCTTCGATCAGGCGAACTGGGAAATCAGATAGCAGTTAGGGGGGAACAGAAGTATTTAAACTTCCAATGTTTAAATACATCTTTAAAAATCCAGGTGACCCAGTTTATTGTCACTATCAGTTACCTCATCTGTAAAATACAGGACTGGAACTGGATTATCTTTCAGTCTATTTTGGCTCTCAAAAGACAAAACTCTGGCTTATACTATTCTGGCTTATGACTTTAAGGGTAATTTTATAAGGGGGAAAGAAAAATCTGCTAACTGATATTATACTGTTTATAATTTGAAAGACAGGTTTAAATCAAGATTAGGATCTAAGGATTCTGTGTATCAAAGTAATTTTTGTTATTCTGTTAAAAATGGCGCATATAATTACAACATGCAACCTACAAAAATATAAACAATGAAAAAAACCAGTAGCTTAAATCTTATAAGGTATCTGCCGCTTAGGGTAAATGGGAACTTTGAGAACTTGTAAGTGATCTTTATGGTTTAACTGTTAGCATTCCCCAAATTTAAACACAGTGAGATGTTTCTCTCTAAGACCAGCTTGGGTAACTGCACAGGTTTCTATCCTGATTCTTATGTTTCATGGGAAACCATATCTTAGTGGCCTGTGTAATAATTCAAAGTCAATAATTACAAAGTTTGAAGATAAAATATTTTATAGAGTCCAATTTTCTGATTGTGTAATTGATTGAAATCCTTAGGACTGCCAGGTGTGGTGACACCTTTAATCCCAGCACTTGGGAGGCAAAGGAAGGTGGACCTCTGTGAGATTGAGGCCTGGTCTACATAGTGAGTTCCAGGTCAGCCAGGGCTACAAACAAAGAAACAAGACAAAACAAAAACAAAAAATCCATAAGATCTACAACTTCAATTATAAGGTGGGTAGATAAGGGGAAATACGATTATATAAACAGATTTTATGGTATTCAAGTATATAAGGTCTAGACAGTGATGAGTGCATTAATGTGGATTCCTTATTATAACAGATAATACACACATATACATGTATGTCTGAGAGTACCTCTGTTTGTGCATCCATCTATGTATCAGATGGTACTCACTATTTGTCATATTTTAAGCATTTTAATTGCATTAACTCTTTTAATGTGGATCAAATCTAAAGACCACAGGTACCTGTTTATATATTTTTAGATTCTAAGGAAGGGAGATCTTATTATAACAGATAATACACACATATACATGTATGTCTGAGAGTACCTCTGTTTGTGCATCCATCTATGTATCAGATGGTACTCACTATTTGTCATATTTTAAGCATTTTAATTGCATTAACTCTTTTAATGTGGATCAAATCTAAAGACCACAGGTACCTGTTTATATATTTTTAGATTCTAAGGAAGGGAGATTCTATAAGCCTAAATTTTTTTTGATTTATTTTTATTTTATGTGTATGAGTGTTTTGCCTGCATGTATGTAAGTGCACTCATGTTGTACAATGCCTGCAGAGGTCAGAAAAGGGTCTCAGATCCCCTGGAACTAGAGATGGAGATAACTGTTTGCTGT